TGAGTTTTCAGTGGTTCAATTGTTTTTTAATGAGAATTACCAAATGTACTGTGTGAAATGTGATCATGTAAGCAAATCACAGCTGCTGTTGTTGATCAATCTTCATGATGTGTTGATTATTACTTGGATAGATGACGTCTCTTGGCGGGAGAAATTAAACTCTAGTGAATACTCTGTTATAATCAAAGATAATCACCCTAGTAGTGTTATTATTAATTTGCTGACTGGTGGAGATGTGGGGTTCAGCGGCTTTAACACTCAACATTCAGTCACTGAGCCTCTAGACAGTTCGAGTCCCGCTCAACCTACTTCAGATACTACAGCCCTGATGTGCAGTTTGAAGCAAGTAGTTGTCTTAGGCGGGCTACACACCGAGTCTTTGATTTGAAGTCTCATCCACAAGGCGGCGTTAAGCAGCGTTCTCATGCAACAACAATTAAAATCGCCAGACACAATTGACCTCGGAAATAGATGTCCAACATTATAGAGACGGGTCATAAAGTTGATTTCAACAATGCCTTTAAGCCCATATATAAAACAAGGTTGGGCCACATACTTAAATTCATTGAAGGCTTAACCGTAAAAAGACTTAAATCTGTCTGTCTTATAAGTCCAAAAGTTATTTGTTATTACCTTAAACCTGCCTTGGTAATCCAATTTAGAACCAAGGTTCAATTTACTTCATAATATTTTCAACCCCCTTCTTTGTTTTTTCTCTTCTTATCTTTCGTACCCACACCTTTGCGTCATCTCCCTACCCATTATTTGTGACCTTGACCTGTACACAATCTGACCTGTATTGGAATGATTCAAGCCTTCTTGCCTTTTATAAAAACTGTGTATGACAAGTACGTGTGTGTGATCAGAATGTCTGAAATGTGTTGCGCAAATACACATAACACGTTTCAGCTAAACTACGTTTTCCTATTTTGCTGTCGAAGTTCTCTCTTGTGTGTTGGTGACCGAAATAAGTCCACACGCAGTTGGATCCCTTTGGATTCTGAAGGCCATGTATACCATAGTCTTGGAGTCAGGATTTTCCAACTCCCCTGTGTAGACCTGCATGCCCCCTAAACTGGCTTCAAGCGCCAGACGTTCTCATTCTCTCAGTTTTACAAGGGACATCCCCTGATACATGAAGGCAGAGGCTATGCCCGTGTGACCACATGAGAGCATTTTGAGAGGAAGACAGGAGTATACCCACCCTCGACTCGGCTATGCCTGGTCGTTTATGGGAGTGAAAATGCCACTATGCTGGATTTATTAGTTGGCGAAGCCCAATAGTAGTAAGATTTTAACAGTTTTTGTTCAGCGAAGAAATTTCTTTTCAACGACTTCATTTTCAAGCTGTACAGTCGTATTTATATTACAGAAAAGGTCATTAAGTGGCACTAAATAATTGCTCAGTCAATATACATATATGTGATAAGAATAACGATATTGACTGAGCAATTATTTAGTGCCACTTAATGACCTTTTCTGTAATATAAATACGACTGTACAGCTTGAAAATGAAGTCGTTGAAAAGAAATTTCTTCCCTGAACAAAAACTGTGTTTTTACTTATGAATAAATGGGTATTTTTCGTGATATATAAATTACACAAATAGTAAGAAGAGAAGCCATAGGCTAATAAAGATCGAAACCAGCAACAAGAGTTAATGAATTCATCAAATTTCCTCACCTGAATACTCTACATACAATATATATATATATATATATATATATATATATATATACATATATATACTATTAGAAATACACTGGGAGATATAAGACTGATAAGTTAGCAAATAAACTACATTGAATTATTCATACAAAACGACACGCGTGAATGTTCAGACCAGGTCATGTTCAAATAGATAAGGGGAAGGGATTAGGAGAGATTAAAATTTTTCTTAAAAATTGAAGAAGGAATATTCTTTTCGATAATTCCTTCTTCCAGCTCTACAATTATATATATGTTTATGTACACAGGATGTTTTAGAATAGTCGTCAATAACAATATTGGTGTTTTGTCTTAAATACTATCGATTTGTTAAGTAAGATCACAGTGGAATTACCACAGTTCAAGAAGGACGCTAACGTTATTATAAGCATAAAAATGTAATAGTAAATAGAAAATCAAATAAAATTAAAGAAATCTGTACAAGAACAAATTGAGGATCATTAAAACCTTGATGGCCACAGGGGTGGTAAGGACAGTGTCTGAATCAACCAACTTCTTCTTTTGGATGCATAAGTTAGGCTTCTTAACTAAGGTGGATTTCAACAGCCAACCTCTGCAATATGTAATTGACGAACTCTTGGGATAAAAGTAGGCTTAGTTGATTTACGGTAGATGACTTTGAAAGCACCCTTGTTAACATCAATCGTGTGTATCTGTATCCACGACATGAGACAGAATAGAGCTATAAATGGATTCTGTTTGTCCCTTTCTTAACCACTATGTAGAATGATGTTCGGAAATTTGGCGATAAACACGCCTAATTGTACGGTCTGTACAACCAACTGTCTCACTCCACAGAAGCAGTCAAATTGGTATGTAGATACACATAGACAGAAGAGGCGAAATTTGGCAGTCTATCTTTAAGTGCTCTTGAACACAAAATAAGGGAGTGGGATGGTTTTGAAGACACAGTATACATGAGCATGACTGAATACTGTTCGTTTTACCGCTGTATTCCTTGGGCGTTGTATTAATCAATATCTCACTGACGTTATCGCCACTGAGGTAGTGAAGTTGTAAGAAGAATGCCTTCCATTTTCAGAACTGTTGGTACTTTGGCCTGTATTACGCTTCAATTATATCACTTACATAAACAATTAGTCATTAGAGAATATATCAAGAATTGAAAACCGAGTAATAGCAGTAGTAATGGTATTATTAATAATAATAATGTTGAAACGAGTTACGATAATGCTACTGTTAAAAGATAGTTTCAAATGAATCAAATAATAATAAGAGGTAGAATAATAAATAAAACGTATTACCATGGTAGGTTGAGAGTGACGACCATTTCCATTTGTACACACAGATCTGCTTTATAAGCCGAAATCGCAAAAGCCTCAGAAGTCTCAAGCATCTTCTTGTTTCTTTGTCTGCTCGCTGACAACAGTGAATGAATGACTTAACAGCGTAGATATCATGTCTGTAGTCTACAAGATGCTTTGTTATTGAACTTTTTGACACATTGACTTCAGCTGTTTCCAGCCACTTTGACAAATTCCCCCCCATGCGAGTAGATAACCGCCTTTCCGTAGGACCTATGCATTTGTTTTCATGAACACGCTCAAACTGATATACTCAGTTTGAAATGTCGAGGACTGACGACTGGTCTTTCGCAGATTGTTGAAGTACGTCATCTCCTTTAAGGGCCGAATTGATTTCTTTGGAACTGTTAGGATAGTTTTTCAGGGGCTCATTTCATCAGAGTATTTATTAATGAACTTTTCAGGATATCCATTCTTAGATAAAATATCCTTCAGAGCTTTTATTTCATGCTCAATTGTACTGTCAGAACACATTTTTCGTCCTCTATTGGATAGTGTTCTGACTATGTTCTTTTTATACTGAATTGTAACAAAATATTTGAAATGTACACACTGTTCTGGTCATGAAGACTTTCTAAATATACATCTTCCGATTGTACCATCAGAACTTTTCACTAGAGGAACGTCAAAGAATTCAATTGCATCATTTTTTTCGTGTTCTCTTGTGTAGATGAGATCAGGATGGCTTGAGTTAAATTTTATCAACAGGTCTTCAGCTTTTGTTGTGCTTTCACAGACAATAAAAATATCATCAACATATCTTAGTTATAATTCTGTTTGTTGTATATGCTTTTGCAAAGTACCTGATGTAGGCCTGACAAGAATAATACTGTCCCTTTTTCATGTGGTTCCTGCAGGTCCTCTTCAGCTGGGTCCACGATTGCCCATAATCTTTCATGTCCTCCTATCCAACACACGATATCTTCCAAATCATCATCGCATTGACAACCAACTCATCGCTTCCTATTGGGATTCCACTCGAGCAATGGCCTGCATAGAGCGTGATGTCATTCGCCTCAGAGTGTGCCCAATCAATCGCTATTTTCTCCTACATATTTTTTGAGCAATCGGCTCTTCCTTAGTTGATTTGTTCACCGCCAGAGTTTCTTCTCGCTAATTCTTTCTGGCCGACCAACCAGCCATTTGATCTTCAGTATGTAGCCGGCGAAAGTGGCATATGTTGATAAAAGTCTGTACTAGCGTGTTGGAAATGCTTTTCGTGACACACAGTGCAAATCTCTGACCCGTGTAGAAGGGCCGACTTCATACTTGTGTTGAAAATCCGAATCTTGTTCCTTATGCTGAGTGCCCGACCGATAGCTGCTACCTTGACGTGGTGGTCGGGCTTCCACATCGCAATGACCCAACAAACTACACTAGTTGGAACTATCGTTCCTGCAGGTCCTACCATACCAGGAAGGTTGTTAGGATAGCGATTAGACTAAAAGCAGTTGCCGCCGGTATAGTGTAAGAATTATTTTACACTATGCTGGGGGTCTGTGGCGAAGTCGTACTGCTGGGGAACAGGGATGTAACAGCCACAGTAAGGTGTTTCCCTCAGATGACCAGCATGCCAGCCAGCCATGCTGATTGCAGAAGATTTCCAAACTGGTTTCAGGTTGATGAAGGCGTATCTCGCCTTTCCGATTCTAGCTAGCTTTGACATCCTACATCCGTTCCACCTGCAGTTAAAACGACGCTTCCTAGATAAATGAAGGAAGTAACCTGGGTGACCCGGCTCAAGTTCGAATCTCAAAAGGAACATGCGTTCCTTCAAGACTGCAGATACATCTTGGTGTGATCATTGCCAACAAGCACGTTTTTCTCCGACTGTCTACATGGAGATCGTTTTGATAAATATGAGCTGTGCAGTCTCAGTGTTTTTATTTTATTCTTATATTTTCTTTATTTCCTAAAATTAATGTTATTTTTATTTTTTTATTATAGAATTCAAATTGTCTATTACTCCGGAACTACCTCGTCACAGTGTCACTTATTGTGCGCCTACCACCTTGTCATCTTCATCTTTTCACCAATCTAACAGATGTATAGAACAGAGTACACCGTTGAAACGAACTCCAGCATCTTTTCAGGTGAAAAATTCTTCTTTTTATCCCGGTGATAATAACAATCATGTTGATGATGATCATCTTACTTCTTTGCTACACAAATCTAATCTCTTTCCAAGAATACAATCAGACAACAATATAATGAAAACGAATTATCATCCTTCAATGATTCAATCGTGTCATCCTAGTCGATTAGAAATGCACATCGATTCATCTCCACCGGCTACACCGAATGCAATGAATGCTTATTTAGAAATTGCTCCGTAAGTTATTCTTTTTTCTTCTTCTTATTGTTCCCTTGGGTTCCTAGTGGAACATAGGGCTTCAACTGCACGTCTCCACTTGCTTCTGTCTTCTGCCTTACTTTTCACCTGCATCCATGTCAGTCCATATTGTTTCAACTCCTCTTCACACGATCTCCTCCATGTCACCCTTGCACCGACGAACCACTCGCCACTTCCCTTTCGGGTTCCACTCGAGTGATGGCCTGACGCGCGATGTCACCCAGCGAGTGTCCAATCCATCTCCAATTTCTCCTGCATATTTGTTGGGCGATTGGTTCTTGTTTTGTTTGTTCTCATAGTTTCTTGTTGGTGATTCTTTCCGACCATCTGATCTTCAGTATAGAACGAAGACAGCTGTTGATAAAGGTTTGCAACAGGCTGTTGGAAATATTCTTGGTGACCCGCCAAGTTTCTGATCCATCCGTATAGAAGAACTGACTGACTTGACGTTTGTATTAAAAATCCAAATTTTGTTGTTGATGCAGGCTGAGTGACGAAGATTTCCAGATTGGTTTAGGTTGATGAATGTGTTTCTCGCCTTCCCGATTTTCGATTTGACATCCTCGTCCGTTCCTCCTGTAGTTGAGACAATGCTCCCTAGATAAGTGAATGAAGTAACCTCTTTCAAATCCCTCCTGTTGATGGTGATTGGCACTGGATGTTGCTGCTGTTGTTGTTGGTTGTTTATTTTCTTAACCTCCGTCTTGTCTATGTTCACCTGGAGTCCTGTCTTTGCTGCTTCTTCGACCAGTTTGTCGGTTTTCGCTTGTAAGTCTTCGATTTTGTGTGACATCAAACATAAATCATCTGCGAAATCTAGGTCTTCTAGGTTCTTCACGTCGGTCCTTATGCTTAATATATTATAGAGTTGATTTGATTTGATTTGAGTTAGAGAGAACCAGTAGAAACTAGGAAGTATTTAATTGACACTTGTTTCGTCGTCCTAGTTTTGTGACTGACTTACTGTTCATCAGTATGCATCCACGACCATGGACGACCGAACTTGGGATCTTTAGGTTATGAAACTATGCTTGCTGACCAGTCAGTCACACTTGGTTGAACCGGAATTTATTGACCCGTGAATTCGAATTCCTGTCAGTTGGTGATTTTCAAGTTCAAGCCAGAAACGTAGGAGGGAGGTGTAGACTTACTGACTGACTGACTGGTTAGGGTCATCGAGATGGTAAGAACCAATGGTCGTGGCTGGAGACAGTCGGTTGTATGGCTCAAAATTGTAGCTGTCAATGGCTGGCGCAGATGCATTCACTCTTTATAATTTTAGCATATCCACTGAAACCGTACTGTTCCTCCATATTACTACTATTATTTTTCCCTCACACTTCTGTTTATTGTGTCTCTCTCTTTTGAATCTCTCTTCTCTTGGTTTGTATGCTAAATGGAGGATGTGTGACGAATTGAACTGTTGCACATCTGTGCAAAGTTCTACTTTGAAAATAGTCAGTCAGTTCGTGATTATAGCACGTCTGCTAACCAATCTAATCGGCGTCCGAGTGTATCGCAGTAGTTACGACATCTCACTAGAATTCCTGGCAACATTTGTCCAATAGACCTAGTCACTAGTGAGCATCAAACCAATTTTCTAGTGTTAGTTTGTAAGTTTTCATTGGTTGTTTAAGCGAAGTCAAAAGATAATGCTACAGGACTGTACTGGATTACATTGACTCCTACCTTAAAGATAGGGAATAAAGAGTGGTTGGTGTAGCTTGTTGGTCACTTCACTTATTTGGGAAGTTGCATGAGCCAGCCAACGCCAACGGGTTGATCTGATCGCTGACGAAATCTCAGCATGGATACAGAAGGCTAGTTTGGCATTTGTCTGCTAAGTTACGCCTTCTCTAGCGTAGACGGGATATCTGGCTGTCAACCAAAGGACGTCTGAACTGCTCAGCAATCATTTTGCTCCATCCTCATTCATTTATGGCTGAGATATGGCCACTGAAAGTGGGAGACATCAAAAGGCCAGATATCTTTGACCATAGGTGCTTCGTTCTCTCTCCTGTGTTACGTGGTATAATATAGCGAGTAATAGTGAGGTGAGGCGTCGGTCAAGTGGTAGGTAAGTGGAAGGGGTAATCAATAGACGATGTTGTGAAGCAGGTGAATCGACTGAGAGAGATGGTTAAGAAATGTGTTTCGCATGAAATGAAATCCACAACAATTATTCTAAGCCAGCCAGCTAGCCACGTAGGGAGGTGTAAACTTCCTGATTGGTTGAGATCTTCGGGATGGTAAGAACCAATGAAGACTGGAAACAGTTGATGACATGGCTCAAAGTCGTCGTTGTCAGTGGCTGGTGAAGATGCATTCGCTCGTTATGATTTTTCATATCCAATAAAATCCTATTGTTCTTTCATAATACTATTCTTTTTGCCTCACTAACACTTCTGTTTAGTGCGTTGGTGGCATAGCGGTTAGGACGCTCGCCCACCATGCATATGGTCCGTGGTTCGATCCCCGGCCGATGCACTCCCTTACCTCGCTAAACCAGAAATAATGCTGGTGAAGAGGAAAGATTGGGTATAGGGCTAGCGACCCCATCCTGTAAAATAAACACTGCTACTGAAACTTAAAGCCACTATCATGAAGCCCTATGTTCCACTGGGGAACGTGAAGGAAAAAAACACTTCTGTTTACTATCTCTCTCTCTCCCTCTCTTGAATCTCCTGCTTTGTGTGCTACATGGTGGTGGGAATGTGGCAACTTGAACTGCTGCACCTCAGTGCAAAGTTCTATATTGAATCCAGTCAGTCAGTTACTCGGGCGGATGGGTAAAATGATCACCTGCTGACTTACTTATCTTTATTACTGTTAAAATATTTTCATTTTGTGTGTGTGTGTGTGTTTGGATCAGTTATGACGCATATATCATTGTCTGTAGAAAGTAAGTTGAATGAAGCGAAATTGGTCGCATTTATTCGCTCATTAATAATCTATCTAACATTGACCGAATTAGAATTTAATTGGTGGATAGTGACTAGCAGTGGAATCCACTAGGATGCGCATTTCCTCGTATTTGGGACTGGCTCGTCAACTGGATGTACCCGCATCCCCCAGTGAGCAATGATGTTCAACTAGGACGAAATGCACTTTATCCTGGATTCTTTCACTGCTAGTCACCATCCACCAATTAAATTCTAATTACATGCCCAGACATCGTCGAAGCATCTACTCACGGAGGAGCCGACATGTCAATCAATCAATCAGTCGACGGGAAAATCTAAAATTCAATTAAGTAATTGACCGGATTGCTTTTAGAACTAACTCGTGCATGGGTATGCGTATGTAGTATTAAACATGAGAATTCGGCTCAGGGTAGTAGTATTAGTAGTAGCAGCAGGCTGATAATTAATTTGTATTGACTGCAGTATTCATAATACTTGTTGACTGTAATCATCCATGTCAACCAAACCTTCCGTACATGGTATTGTGAAGACAGTAGAAAGTTTGAGAATGACATGATAACAAAACACGTAGTGATCAGCGAAGAGTCTCTTTTCAACGGCGAATTCATTTTCTTAGCTGTACAATCGCAAATATATAATATGGGTTATTTTGTATGCATGTGTACATTAAATTTGTCAAACAAAATACAATTGGTTATAGTTATTTGAACTAAACAGGTGAAGATTGCTAATTGGAGTTACGTAATACAAAATCGGTCAAGAAAATTGGGTGTTAGTGAAATTAGGGTAGTAACAAAGGTGATGAGTTGTCACAAATAGTTGTTAAAAGAAGTTATTTTAATAATATGAATAGTTTGATGAGTGAGTTTTACTCAGGATGCACATAAGAATAAAGTAGATAATGCGAAATTACGTAAGAGTTCTAAATGAGTACAAGAATTATAAGGAATTAAAGAACAGGCGAAGAAACAAAATTAAGTCATCAAAATAAAAAAAAATCAAATCAAAAAAGTTGTTACCATGACAGTAGAAGTGGTTGAGTTATCCTGTTATGTATATACAGTTCCGGTTTTTCTATGTGAATGGCCAGAGCTTCAGCGATACAAAGAAGACGAAACTGTATTGCCTTTGGTAGGTTATTCTTGACTCTATAGATTACTTTGAAGGAGGCGTTTGTTGAGGTGGAATGATCAGTGTTAACCAGGTGTTCAATTATCGCACTCCTTTTGCATCACTATTGCCTTTTCGCAACCATGCTGGCTAGATAGTGTTCTTGAATCCTCTTGGACAGGGTGCGCGTCGAACGACCGATGTACCTGGCTCCACAGCAACAGGTGATCTGATATATGCACATAGAAGTGGTCAGATGCGGGATCTTGTCCTTGAGGCTTCTGCAGATCAGTAGGCGACTGGAGAACACTATTCTTAGCGTTGCTGCAAAGAATGTTCTCAGAGATGATGTGATCCTTTTCTTGAGAATATCGCTTGCTAAATCTCCCTTGAAATCCAAGTTCATGTAGAGTTTCTTTTTTGGCGCAATTAAAGTTTCGTTTCTCCGAATTCTTGGTTTGATATTTTTGTCGATGAATCTTATTGGGTACCCATTTTGGATGAAAATTTCTCTTAGAATATCTAATTCTGTTTCCAGAACGTCGGGACTACAGATGCATCGGATGCGGGTGGCAAGTGATTTAATTAAATTTCGCTTTTGTTGAATGGGTACCCAGCTATAGAAGCTTGTTAGTTGACTATTCCAAGTAGGTTTTCTATGGATCGATCCTCTTAGGCTCCCATCAGTTCTTCTTGTTAGTTCCACATCAAGAAACGGAATTTTTGACTCGTTTTCCATTTCAAGAGTGACATGATAGTAAAGAATGATAGCCCACTCATAAAGCTTTTAATTACAGAATGTGATGTAGCTCAATGACTGAATCCCTTGACATACTCGAATCTAAACAAAATCGGTAGTATCATCAGCAGCCTGTGTAGTACACATGGTAAATCTCTTTCACAGCCACTGAGATCAAAATTGAGCCAACTAAAGAGAATTTGTGA